ATCTCTGGGCACATGAAGCTCATACTATTTCTTCTCTCTTTGAAATCAATCTTTTCATATGGTAGGACTGCATCTGTTTTCTCAAATAACCAATGTGAGAGTTTTCAAAGTCGTTTTATTTATTTCAGATTTGCATAGCGAGCATTTGGACTCGCATTCAGTGGTTTGCTACCTCATGACTTTATATCTATCAATAATTGGAAAGAGTTCCATTGGTGCATTACAGAGTTCGGTGAGTAGTTTTTTTTAATGAATATTGCTATTACAGGTACTCTGCTACTCAACAATTTCAGAAAAATGTTGGTGTCTTGCTAAATAGCCTCGATACCATTTTGGATTAGCAGAAGTGTAAAATGGTTGACGATTTGTCGATACAGCTCATTTCCAATGCGAAGAGTTTAGTCAGAAATCTTGGGCGTTTATACTCCTCCCCCAGCGGCGCACGCTCCGCCCACGCAGGACGTGCATTGCACACTCACCAGCGCTTCCAAATTTGGCTCCCTGCGTGAATACTGTTCAACTATCGAATCTGAAATGTTGAAGCACCCCTAGTAAAAAACACGAAAACTTGTTTTCAGTTGTGTTGATGGGATGGCCCTTCATTAATTTTAGATTTCTTTTTATCGGCATGAAGGCCGTGCTTGCACTTCAGTGAAAACTTAAAACCTTGTCCAAGTGGTAGGCGTACCTATTGTACCTCACGATTTGTAGTCCTGATGTATTTTATGATCCTAGACGTGCCAACCATTCGTCCTCCGCGGTCGTTGAAAATGCCGAAAATTGAATTTTGTTCGACTGGTGGCTCAGACCTGTAAAAGCTCAAAGTTACGACCCAAACATGGATTGTTAACGATCAGACATCATAAAAATGCCGGACCAGCCTCTAGAAGGCCCAACTGCCTGGCAACAAATGGCAACATACGAATGACTGATTCTTCTAAAATGTCCGAATAGCCCGGTGATGTATTACGTAAACTCTTTAATTCCATTGAAAAAGAAAGCGAAAACAAAAAGAACGAGAGGGGGAGGACGAATTGAAAGCGATTTGAATGATGAAGTTGTGACTTGGGGATATTATTGTAAAGGATGATGGGTGCAGTCAGGTGTTCCCGTTGGGTGGATGGAATTTCGCAGCCGCCGTCATTTTCTTCCCCGTTCCCTAGCCCCCATCGTCGTTATCTGTCCCACCAGGTTCATGCCATGATGTACTTTTCGATGTCTGTCGTTCAAAGCCGGTAACTTTTCTGCACCTCACCAGATGTTTACGACACCCAACTGACCGATATCTGTTGAGTACGGTACCCTTACAGTATATTTCCGGTTGACCGGAAAGGCGACGCTATGGAGAGAAAGACTACTCACGTAAGTACAAATAGGTTTCGGGGGTTTCACATTTCTCAGGGGCAAAGCTCTTAATCAGAAAGACTTATTTGTATGTTTATTTATTTACTTTTTTCTATTTATCCCTTCTGAATCCCGACAAATTCGAACCCACGTTCGTATTTGCCCCTTGTTTTTATTTTGTGAAATCGCATTAATTGTCTTCCTGCTATGTTGGAAATTATTTTTTTTAAATTTTATAGACACATTTTTTAATTTCGTGAATATCTGACCTTCAACCCTCCTATTTCCTTTGATTTATCCCTTACAAGGAGACACAAAGTGTTGATCACTATCTATTCATTAAGCGGGATTACTGTATGTCCACTAAGGAGGTTACGGGGTTACGGTGAACAGGAAGTCGTGACGGGACCCATGCTCATATTGAGCAATTTCGAAAATCGTATTTCGTAAGAGTGTTAGCAATGCACAACAAATGGTATTGGCATAACCTTCTCAGGTTCTTCAAAAGCCCTATCGGCTAAGGTTTATTTGTTGAGCACTTTTTTTCAGCCCCGTGTCAAATGGGGCTGAAAGAAAATTGGGTACTATTCTACTATTACACCCCTAGCACTATTCTACTGTTACACACCCCAAAATCTCAAAACTTTAATTTTCGATGAAACTTCGCCTATAGGGGTAATCCGATGCCCTGATAACGAATATGACCTTCAATTTTGGCGTTGGCGCCATTTGGCTCCAATTGGCGCCAATTGGAGCCAAATGGCGCCAGCGCCAAAAATGAATGTTATATTCGTTATCAAGACCTCAAATAATCCCTCAACGCAAGTTTTCAGCAAATTTGGCGAAAACACCCTTGGCGCAAAATTGGCGCCAATTGGC